TCCAGAGAAAGCGAGTGAGGAGAGACGGGCCAACCAGGTCAAACACTGCTGCTGAGCCCAGTCAGGAGAGCAGGGAGCCCTCACCAGCACGTCTAACGCAGTGAAAGTAATTGATGCCTTGAAAAGAGCAGCTCTGTGAAATGGTGGAGGCGGATTAGAGTAGAGGCAGTAGCAGCGAAGAGGAAAGGAATTGGAGAGTGAATACAAACAGCTCTTCCAAGGCATTTTGTGAGGTGAGCAGAAAAATCTGGGGACAATAGAGGCAGAAATGAGTGGGAGCAACTCTGTTTTGCATTGTGGAAATAACTGCACGTCTGAATGCTAATGGAAATGATTCAGTGGAGAGGGGAAATGAGTGATTTAAAAAAGAGAGAGAAGAGAATTGCTGGGCTCCCCCTTGAATAAGAGAAGGCAATGGGATGCACAGTACACATGCGAGGTGACGGGAGCACAGAGAGCTGACCCAGGAACAAGGCAGACGGTGCAGAATCGAGCTGGGCAGGCAGCGGGAGCTTTGGAAGATGTGATTGTCGGTGTTCTCAGCAGTGTGGAAACCTGGTCATCAGCTGAAAGTGATGATCCAGGGGGAAGCAGTGTTTAAGGTGAGAGGGGGTGTGAAATAGCTGTCTAGGAGTGCAGGACGGTGAACAGAAAATGGAAATAGAGTGTGATTGTTTTTGGCAGAATTAAGGCCCACTTGAGTTCTGTTATCATGACTTTAAGATACGCCCACAGCCATTTCCCACTGCCAGGATAAACAGTGGTGCAGGGAAGAGTGAGTAAGTGAGCACCATGCAGTGAAAAAGGAATGAAAGACTTGAGGGTATAATTCAAGGGATTGTAGGAAAAGTCAGAAATTTACACTTGACAAAAAGGAATAGGAACTATGAGAGGGTGAGAGATAAAGTTGGTAAGTTCAATAGCTTGTGGGTCCTGGTGCGGGTTTGTTAAAATAGGAGTCCTAGAGAGAAGAAGCAGGAAAGACAGAAAATGGTGATGAGAGGATATTGGAACTGAGTTTAGGAAGGTTTGCAATTACTGGTAAAGACAAGAGCTAGGCCAGTTCTGCTCACACTTTAATGTGCATATAAATCCCCTGGTGATATTATGATTTGCATTTTGATTCAGTAAGTCTAGGGCAGTGGTCGGCAAACTCATTAGTCAACAGAGCCAGATATCACCAGTACTTCTTCAAAATAGACTCGCCCAGGCAGAAAACCGACTTCTGCGCATGGGCCACAAAGTTTCAATCGCACTGTACGTGCGAGCCCGTGTGGTATTTTGTGGAAGAGCCACACTCAAGGGGCCAAAGAGCCGCATGTGGCTCGCGAGCCGCAGTTTGCCGACCACGGGTCTAGGGGGACAGAGCCTGGGATTCTGCATTCTATCAAATTTCCAGGTAACAGATACTGTTGGCTCACGATCTCACTTGAAAGGCAACGGTCCAGTGTGGTGTTCCTCAACCCTCGCAGCAAACCACAGCCCCCTGGGGAGTTTGAAAAATACTCTTGTTCAACCAGTCTTGACCAGTGAATCAGAGTTTCTCTGGGTTGGATTTAGAATTGATGTATTGTACATGCCCTCCACATTATTCTGCAGTGAAGTCAGGGTTGACCACCTCTGTCCTGGAATATGTGACTGTGAGTGTAGTTGACTTAGCCATCAAGGTCATCCCCGGAGGGAGGGTTATGGAACTGAGGGGCCAAGATGTTGGAAATGTCATCTTTTGGTTATTAAAATCATCAGAAATTATGACAGAAGTTGTGCTGGATAAAATGACTGTGAACCCAGAGGTACGTAGATGACTACAGAAATATGGGAATTGGGTGACATAATCTGATGGCATGAGATGTAGAGCGAAGGTGTTTGGCCGGAACAGTCGGGAATAGACCATGCAGAAGCAGGGGGACACTCACTGGCGCCCCGGGCGCAGTGGTGTGTTGAGTGGGGAACGTCCCACATTTGAGTTGAGTCCAGAAGAACAGTAGCGTCACGGAGAGAGTGGTTTTCAGTGAGAGGAAAGTGAAGAAAACCATCTGAAAAGAAATGGAAATTTGGGAGGATTTTACTACTCCAAGGCCGGATGGAAAGGGTTTGAGGGTTTGGGAAGAGGGGCGATGGGGATGTGTAGACAGGATGAGGGTTTAGTACAGGGGGGAGCGATGACCTGTAGACTGGTCCCGAGCTCCTCGTGCAGATGGTGGCCTCACAGCAGGACATGTGGCATGGCTGGGAGAATTGCGATGTGCAGAACGGAGAAGGAGGGTCTTATTCGGAGCTGGAGAAGTCCTGGACTCCCCTCTACATTTCTACAGGAATTTTCTAGCAGTACAACCCTTCATTTCTCCAGACAAAGGCATGCAAATGAGCCAGTGTGGAAAACAGATCCAAGAGGAGCCTCTCTGGTTAAAGTCAGAGTTCAGGGAGGAGGGCAGTGCCCCCCAGCAATACTGGGGCTCCTCAGGGGTCCTCGGGGCTCAGGCCACAATCCCCTCTCCAAGGTTGGTAAGAAAGGAAAAGGCAGCCATGTACTGTATAAGCAAGTAAAGGTCATATACCCAATAATCATGTATGTCTTTTTAAATCTCTTGTCAACTATTCCAATTGCGCTCTTTCCTCCATGTAATAAACTCTTTAAATAAAAAGTGGCTCGCAATATCCCTTGGGATTCTTGATGTCTTTTTTGACCAGGATAATGATACTGTTGTTAACAGATATTACATGCAAAGAAGAAACCATGGTTTTGAATAGTCAAGACTTAGGGCAGGTTCTCCAGAAGCAAATCATGAGGCAAAGGTTTGAATGAAAGTGGTTTTGGTTTTTTTGGTTTTTTTAATTTTTAAGTTTTTTCAAAATATTTCTTTATTGATTTCAGAGAGGAAGAGAGAAGGAGAGAGAGAGAGATAGAAACATCAACGATGAGAGATTATCATTGATTGGCTCCCTTCTGCACAACTCCCAATGGAAATTGAGCCGCAACCCAGGCATGTGCCCTTGGCTGGAATCGAACCTGGGACCCTTCAGTCCACAGGCTGACACTCTATCCACTGAGCCAAACCAGCTAGGGCTGACTGTGAGTGGTTTTTATGGGTACACTTCCAGGAGAGCCTCAGAGGTGGAGCAAGCAGGAGAGAAAAGGAGAATACCAGAAAAAAAATGTGCATTCAGGTGAAGGCCCAAGGAGATAGTTTCAGCGTAACCCTGCAAGGAGAACTCTGGAGAGTAACAGCTCAGATTCCAACTGGGATTAGCCAATTTCCTAAGGCTTTTCCCACACTCTGTAAGACACTGTGGAGGGGGAAACTGGGGAGGGGAGGGTGGAGGAGCGGGGAACCCCTAGGCACTTCCAGGCAAAGAGCCCAGGAGCCTGACGGCTGCTCTTTAGAACACAGTCACGGGTATAGGTCCTAAAATGCATAGATAAGCTAGGTAATGATTAGATTAAGATGTCCATGTCAGCTTTCAATGACTGTCAAGTCGATTTCTGACACTGTGACTTTTGCTACCTTCCCCTTGCACTTCTAGCAGGATCACATTACCACACACAGGCCAAAGGTGAGGACATCCAGGTCAAGTGAGTATGAGCATCTGATCAAATACGCATCTCCAAGGATGGCCCTGACTGAACATGCAGTCTGTATGTGAGGGCAAAAGGCATGTTTTAAAGCTCCACTGTTTTAATGGGTTCTGTTCTCATTCTCACACCCATTACTGTCAATACCAAGAATGGTTACCTACTTCAAAATGTACGTTATTACAAATAGTTGCTCTTATCTACTTTCTCACTTTTTTTTTCAGGATTGTTGTTGGTTTTTGTTTTTCTCTTTAAATTGTGGCCTCTCTTCTATGGATTAGAGGAGCGTTATCTTAGAGTCCCGGGGTTAGATTTAATTTAGAGCTTTGCATTGTCAAGCCCACTGACAGACTGAGAGATTAATTTCCAGACCGCCTGTGGTGCTAGAGAAGCTGCTTAAGATTTTGAAAATGGCAACACTGTTGACTCCCTACCCCTGAAGGTTACCTGCATTCACATGCCCACTAATGCTAAAGAATGTTGAAATGTGGTAAATATCAATGTTGTTTTCCTTTATGGAAAAACCTGTGCATGAGGGAGAGGGGTGGGAAAAAGAAGCGATTTACAGGACAAGAAATGGTTTCTCCCTCATAGGGCCGCTTATACACATGCATCTCCCTCTTTTCATTCTGCAGGGATAACATCTCGGTTGCTCAGTTGGTATTAATTGCATAGAAAATTGATCAGTTTACTAGTTTTGGACAGTCCTGTCTGCCATCAGGTTTCCCCAGAAGCAAACCTTAAGCCAAAGATTTGCTGCTAGTGATACACAAAGGGAGAGATTTGGGTATAACTTCCCTGCTATTTGAATTATATTGAGAGTTGGTAGAAGATCTTTTTCCCCCCCAACTATTTTGGCTCAGATGCATCTTCAAATATGTGTTTACAGCATTTTAAAGTGGATGCATTTTCAGGGAAATCTAGTCCATATGTTTCAGCAAGGGCTACGCGGAAATCATCCAAATGTTCTTTTATTAGAGCGACATGTGGGAGCTGCTCTCGAGCTTCTCACGTCGTTCTTACACTCTCCCCCCGGAAAAGCTGCAGGTCGGTGGCCGCAAGTAAACAAATCAAATAGCAAAAGGTGTGAGTTCAGTTGGAAATGCGTAGCCTATTATCTTTGATTGGGTTCGGAACTTGGCAGAGGCACCTTCCCTGTTCCTGCCTGCAGGGCAAAGTGAAAACAATTTGAACACTGCATTTCCCCGTGGGTTCATTGACATTTGAGAATACCGCTGCACAGACAGAATCAGCATGCCTGGCAGGTGAGCAGTACTTCACATGACCTCCCAAAGTTACTTCCTCCCCGTCTGCAGAAGTTCAGAGCTCGGAGCAATGTTATACATGTTGCAAAACCCAAGTTAGGACAGGCAGCCGTCCGGGGATACATCCGGGGAAATTATCTGTTTCTCTTGTGCCTCTTTAGGTGGAATGGTTGAAAAATGAAGACATAATTGACCCAGTTGAAGACCGGAATTTTTATATTACTATTGATCACAACCTCATCATCAAGCAGGCCCGCCTCTCAGATACCGCAAACTATACATGTGTCGCCAAAAACATTGTTGCCAAGAGGAAAAGCACAACGGCGACTGTCATCGTCTATGGTGAGTGAGCTTTTGGGGTCTCAGTCTAGTTCATGTCGAAGTGCAGGTGTCATTTTTATTTTAAAACATCAGATAAGCGGCCCCTTGGCAATCCTCATGGCTGGTCTCTTCCTGCTGCTCACGTGGACAGTGAGGTTTCACTGCTTCCCTGATGCTCATGGGAAGACTGGTCTTGGAAATTCCTATTCCTTTGTCAGTCAGTTTATAAGAAAATGAAAGAAATCTGCCTACGGTCCAGCTGCTTTCCTGAGCCTTCCTCTCTCCCTGCCCTGGGCCACGGGGATACAGAGCGAATTTGGAGAGAAGATGCTTAAAGCAGTCTGTTGCCTCTTCTGTGAACCTTGGCTCAGTCCAGTGACTGCAAAACCCCAGGTAAACTGGCGCTGACATGTCCCCCTACACATCAGAGCAACTTGAACTTTCTGGAACTTGCTTTACATGCTCCATCAAGGCATTCATAGTGAGGAGTGTTTTCCAGAGTAAGATCTTTGAGGTAAGTAATGAGCAGAGTGTAAGAGTGTAGGCTTCACAATCTCATCTCTGGTGACATCTCCATCCAACACCATCATTAGCTCTCATATACAAAATAGGTGTTCATTTCAATTACATCAACTAATCGCCAATTCAGTCACATAGCTACCCAGTAAAAAACCCAGCAATATAAGATTTTATTTTTTTGACCAGGTTCAGTGGTTACTTAATAAAACTGACGAAAAATCCTTAAAAGGTTGCACAGTTTATATATGCTGAAGAAAAGTAATCAGTCATCTGGTATTAAGACAAGATGGAATGGTCTTATTCAGCTCCCATGTTTCAGACCCACTTACAGCCTTGGCATAAGGAAGTGAACATTTATTATTTGAGATAAGCTGTCAAAAGTAGTTTTTAGAGCTTGACTAGGTAGGGGGATGTATTTTGTTTTAAAAAGAACAATAGCCAAGGAAAGGAGAACACAACCCTATTTGCTTTTCTGGGTAGGTGAGTAAACATTGGTAATTCATTTTTGTTTTTGTTTTTTTAATCTCTGTGCTTAGATTCTTCGACTCTGTGATAAAACTTTGAATGATATGAAGTCTATGGTCTCTTCTAGCTTTGAATTTTAGATTTTTTCTATAGTTCCTTGGGGAATAAATTTGTGTCGATGTGTTGTGTGTGGTTTGTGCATCTGTGTGTGCGTGCACAAACATGTAATCCACATGTTATTATTTACCTCCTCCCAGTAAACGGTGGCTGGTCCACCTGGACAGAGTGGTCTGTGTGTAATAGCCGCTGTGGACGGGGGTTTCAGAAGCGCACGAGGACCTGCACCAACCCAGCACCCCTCAACGGTGGTGCCTTCTGCGAAGGGCAGAGCGTGCAGAAAATAGCCTGTACCACGTTGTGCCCAGGTAAATAAACTAGCGCTCTCGTTCCAACTGACTCCTCCCATTCCAGAGATGCATTTAAGGGGTCTACACAAAGCCTTCTCCTTGACCTGTGTGCAATAAACATTATTTAAATGCATCATCCCATTCGATGCTTACATTGCTGGGAAATCAAATATTTTCCCCCAAAAGAGTACTTAACTTTATTACTGAGCCATGAAAAATCATATAAAACAGGAGATTAAACACACGTCAACAGAATCCCTCTCTATTACTAAACAAAACTGCTGGAGCCAAGATTGTAGGTTCTGTAATTCAAGAGATTCGAGCACCACTGAAAGCCACACATTTTAGAAAGAAAAGAAAAAACAAAAACCCTTGATCTCCAGAAAGCCATGGGAACTAATTGGAACTAAAACCCAGATAATGTTTAGAAGGAAATATTTGATATTTGGTGTCAGTTTCTGGGCAAGAGCAAATAAAACATTTGGACTGAATGAAAAGGAAGTCTAAGCTTTGTGACACATGAGCTAATGGATTTTGAAAATACAATGCAGTCAGCACTTTATTATCTGTACTGGTTGGCCACCTGTTTTGTGAGTTATGTGCAGGAGTACCTATGCCCAGATTGCATCTGGTGCCTCTGAGCATCTCTCTGTGCTATTTTATATTGTCACCTGCTCTTATCCCCAGGTAACTGAAGTTAACACCCACTAAAACCAAAACTCCCTAAGCTCTAATCAATAAGTTGAAAAGTTTAGCTAGAATTATTTTGAAATAATCCATAAAAATAGTGCACTCCATCGAGGTAGCTATTATATTGTCAATTTCATTGTTTCAATACACAGTCTTTTTTACTTCCCTTTATTTTGCCTGGTTTTTGTTTGGTTTATCCTTTAGGACAAACTTTCTGAGAGATGGGCTGAAGAAGTGAACTGAAATAAAAACATAATCTATATTTTATATTCCTGTGTTGATTTCCAAATATCAAAATAGTAACCTACCCTTTGAGAGCTTTTATTTATGGAACAAATTTTGACACCCAGCTAGGTTTACAACTTCAGGATGCTATCGTATACTCTTAAATATTTTACCTACATGTTGACTCCCACGATTAAAAATGCACTGAGCTTTTTGAGTGAAATAGAAATGTGTGAGTGTGTAATTTGGAATGGTCTAGGATCTAAGGCTCTAGGTCAAAGCAAATGCCTTTTCTTCAGATAGCTGGGAGCTGTTTATATAGGCAGCTCTGTACCATTAAAGTATTAATGCTTTCATCATTTTTTTATGTGGGCATGTTTATATCTCTACCATATGCATAATATATTTACACAATTTGAACGTAAAATCATAAACTATTAAAATTGATATAATTTCTATCAATATGCAGGTATAAGATGCTATGTATATTAGATGTTCAATAAATTTACTACATATTTTTAAACTTAGGAATGGAAATTGTTTTTAACATAGAGATATCTCAGCTCATTATCATTGAAATTACTGCCAAGCCAGCCACCAAAAATAGGAAGAAAGTGAGTCAATTCTAAATTACCAAATCATGGCAGAAAATTAAATATGACTACATATATTTTTAATAAAAATAGAAATGTATACATCATAAAATAATGGACTGGAATCATCAAATAATAAATGGAAAATTGTTTTTTTAAGAAAACATTGAAGATCTCAAGAGAATCAATTAGCCCAGATGAAAAAATAAAAGAGGCATATAGGACATCGATAGATGATAGATAGATAGATAGATAGATAGATAGATAGATATTGATGCATGATACATGGATGGATAGATGAATGGATGGAAGAGTGGGTACACAGGTAGATTTCTTCCCCACTCAACCAACCATTTTTCCCACATAAGTTAACTGTACCCCTCATATGACGCTATGCATAAAGGAATTTGGGGTCCAAAAAGAAGCCCCCTAATTTTCAACACAAAATCCAGAAGTTTACCATTTGATAGAGAAAGGGGCACCACCATGACTTACTTTTATACAGCTTTGGTGGCAATTCTGGTCCTGTGTGTCCCTTTAAGCCTCCCTTGGGTGTCCCTGAGGAAGCAGTCACACAGCTCCCAGGAGAGCTCACAGAGCCCAGCAGGTGTGCGCAGAGCATGCTCTACTTCCCCAGCGGAGAGAGATCCAGTCCTCCACGGGGGCATTTTCTCCTGCTTGTGTGTTTGCTGTATACTTGGGCTCAGCTCCCCTCTGCCCTCCAAGCTCCTGTACCTTTGACCTGACGCTGGGTTTTCTCTGTGGCAGTGGATGGTCGGTGGACTTCCTGGAGCAAGTGGTCTACTTGCGGGACGGAGTGCACGCACTGGCGCAGGAGGGAGTGCACGGCGCCCGCCCCCAAGAACGGAGGCAAGGACTGCGATGGCCTGGTCTTGCAATCCAAGAACTGCACTGATGGGCTCTGCATGCAGAGTAAGTCTGTGTCAGCCAAGGACACACTGGGGAGATGTGAGATTTAACCACTTGGAATTATTGGCAGGAAATATGAGAAATGAAAAATTTCAATAACAAAAACTTCAATAATATACCAATATACTAGTTATCTCCGAAAATTGGAAAAGGTAGACTCCCAGGAACCAAAGGGAATAACTGTGCCCAGCTGACAAGTGACAGAGTGTGATTTGCGCACATTTCCATACAGGGACTGCCATTCTTTCCAGACCCAGGACCACTACTCAGTTTTGTGAGAGCGCACCAAGGGCACCCTAACCTCCTCACAGAGTCACATGGCGTCCAACACACAAGCTATTTATTCCTAATCCATGGCTGTGACTGAACTAAGGTCCCTTCGATATGTCATATAAATATATATATATATATATATGACAGGAAACATTTCTGTAGGTAGATTTACCAGTTTACACATACTTAATGGGAACATCTTCACAGCTCCTTGAAAATGCTGGGTTTTGTTAGAAATTATGTTTTTTGAAAGGAAACAATGTTAATAAAACATCAATTTTAAAATAGGCATAGAAGGTTGGCGTCCGAATACAATGGGTGCTTTAAGCTAAATTGTCACCATTTCTCATGGCTTCATTCCTTAGGTTTTCTTAATGAGATGGTTGTTTGATTTCCATACCTACAAAGTCTTACTTTTTATTAAGGAGCCTTTAGATATACAAAATTTACCACATCGTTCATGACCATGAATTAAGACACTAAGATTTGTTCTGCATGTATACCTATACAGAGGAATAGATCAAACGATGTGATATCTTTATATCTTAAACTAATGGAGGGCAAATGTTGACATTTCTTAGAATACATTACAAATTGCTTACAGAATCAAAACAACCAAATATATCTGTATAGAAGTTTTTACGAATAAAATAATTTATTCTTACCATTTTTATGATATTCTGTTTACCTTCCAGAATCGATACACACAGGGACCTTTTAAAAAGAAACCTTACTTAAAATACTAGTAAATATGTCATTATGTTGCTGACACAGAATAAAAATCCAATAGGCCTTTTATTTCTCTGTCCACGGTAGGTTACATTCTTTGAAAATGGGCTGCTGCTGTGTGTAAAAAGCACAGCTTCTGGTTATGATTTGGGGACTGCATCGCACTAAGTTTGTACCTGAAATGCAGCATGAAAGTAACACAGCTGTTTTACTAACCATTTATCCAGACATGCAGGGTTTGTTCCTCGAGGCATGGTTTGAGTGAGGATTAAAGTAAAAACATATG